GGACATGGGCAATAACAGGAGGAATGAGTTGGAAGTCGATGAGAGGCACAGTCAGGAAAGTAACTGAAATACTTTCCTCGTGGATTGTATTTTCTAAATGGACGACCTACCTAATTCTCAATTACTGAGGGACAATCTTCACTCATTGATACATTTGCTTTCCACAACCAAATCTCTGTACAACTTTTCATAAGGGATGTAACCGAGTACTCGGATTCTAATATCTAAACTGTATCTAAACTGTATCGTTAAATCTATTTACCTAAATTGATGAATGCTCAACCGTGCCTTAATTATGTGATCACATAACAGTATCTCTCAAATGCAGCAAAAGGAGAGTTTTCACCTGCACACACACGTAACATGTAATTCGCAAGTGCTGGAGATAAGGGGAAGTTCTGTGGCCTGTGTTATACAGGAGCTCAGACTAGACAATGACGATGGTTCCTTCTTACCTTGGAACCTATGAATCTATGAACTCAGAGTTCCTGTGTTCTTAGGCTTTGTCTACACTGGCAAGTTTCTGCACAGTAAAGCAGCTTTCTGCGGTGTAACTCCCGAGGTGTACACACTGCCAAGCCACTTACTGTGCAGAAACTCCTCAGTTGCAGCGTTGCACAAAAACCACCTGCGCTGCATTGCCAGTGTAAACATATCAATTGCTTTCAGCGCTGTAATTGGCCCCCGGAAGTGTCCCATAATCCCTCAAGTGGCCGCTCTGCTTATTGTTTTGAACTCAGCTGTCCTGGAGACATGCACCGCTCTCCTTTCAAAGCTCCCTTTCTGACAGCCCTTGGGTGCTGTGCTGATCTGCTCTGGGACACAAAGCAAACCATTATTGTGGAATGCTCCTGCTGTTGAACACAGAGGCAGGCGTGTGTGTGTGTGTGTTACAAGACAGCATGCTGACACACTCTGTCCCCCAAAACACACTGCCTCTCTCCCCCCCCCCCCCCACTCCCTGTCACACACACTCGCCCATCCACTTCAGTTGAAAAGCAGCTGGCAATGTAGTAGGATGCCCATGGAACAATGGGACTGAGAAACCTGCATCATGTGATGCTGTGCCTGCCCCTTGAGGCATTGCAAACCCTTCCCAAAGCACCCTGTGGCCAGCTGCACAGTGGGATAGCTACCACAGTGCACTGCTCTCTTTGCCGTTGCAAGAGCTGCTAACGTGGATGCGCTCCACCATCACAAGGAGCACAGTGTGCACACGCAACAGCGGTTTAATTCCAGCGCTTTAATAAAAATTATATAACTTGTTGCGCAAAAACTTTGCAGTGTAGACATACCCTTACTATGATATTGTGGAGCCAATAAAAGAATTTAATATGGAGAAATCAGATAAAATTGGGAAATTCCATAGAGTTTCAATTAAGTTTTCCTCTATCTGGAGAGTGAGGTGGAGTTGTAGACAAAAATACATTGTGCAACTCACAGCTATTGGGATGGGGATTTTCTTCTATGATGTTACATGTTATCTAACATCCTAGAGAAATTCAATTGGATTATCTGAGACTATTAAATGATCACATAATTTGAGAGTGCGCTGTAATGCACATGGCACAAGGAGACAGTTCGGATTAAACCATCAACCCTATCTCTGCATTTCCTGGCTTGCCTATAAAATTACTCAGCTTTGTCATGGCAAACACAATTTTAAGCATAGAATTTCCTCGTTTAAAAAAATGAGCAGTACAAATAAACAAAGGAAGTTACAAAAACACTGAGTGTGTGTATGTTGGGTTCATGCCTGGGGCACGGTGGTGTTTATAGAGTATGTCTGATTGAGAGGTTCTGTAGTGCATGTATGCATCTGTGTCTGGTCCTTATCTAGGATTTGGCCTCTGAAGTTGGTGTAATGTGCCTCAGAGGGAGTATCTAGCTGAGATATCACGTGGAGTATCACGTGGAGGTTTGCCTGTGTGTATAGTCTTTGCCTTCTGCCTCTTGCACATTACCCAATCTCTCTGAGCCTGCATACTACAGTGACAGGCATTACACAACTACCTACGAGAGACGGACAGACAAAGCGTAACTCAGACATGGACCCCACATTAGGTACATTCAATCCCACCTCTGCCTCTCTATGTCTGCACATCATTACAGTATGAGCTAAGCCAGGGGTCGGCAACCTTTCAGAAGTGGTGTGCCGAGTCTTCATTTATTCGCTCTAATTTAAGGTTTCACGTGCCAGTCATACATTTTAACGTTTTTAGAAGGTCTCTTTCTATTAGTCTATAATATATAACTAACTATTGTTCTATGTAAAGTAAATAAGGATTTTTAAATGTTTAAGAAGCTTCATTTAAAATTAAATTAAAATGCAGAGCCCCCCGGACCGGAGGCCAGGATCCAGGCAGTGAGAGTGCCACTGAAAATCAGCTCGTGTGCCGCATTCGGCACGCGTGCCATAGGTTGCCTACCCCTGAGCTAAGCCTTCACAAGAATTTCACAGAACCTAAATCATTGAGCTGGCTTCACCCTCTCCAAATAAAACACCATGCCAACGTGCCTGAGTGAAACAGGAAGCCTGCCAGCAAGCACCGTCGACATACGTGTGCTAGCTCTCGTCGAGCTAGTGTGCTAGAACAGCAGCGTAGCTGGGGTCCCACAGTGCCCAGGAGGCCCAGGCAGGTCTGGACTCAGCACGCTGCTACCCCACTATTTTTAGCGCACTCGCTCAATAAGAGCTAGCATGAGAGCTGGGAATCACACCCCTAGCTCCAAGTACAGACTCAGCCTTAGAGTGAACTCAGAGGAGGTGAAACTCCACCTGTGCAGAAATGGAATGACTCGTCCAATCTGCTGGGATCCATTTCAGTGGCGCTGCATCCTCCTCCTGTCACTTCCAGGTACTAATCCCCCTGGAATGCAGCAGTGTCACCTGCCTGGCAGGTGAGCATTCCTGCATTCCAAGGGGATGATCTCCTCCTCCTCTTCCTCTGTCCAGCCACAACAAAAGGATGGGAGCAAGGGCAGTTACTGAAATCTTCTTCGCCAGAAAGTGAAGAGTGCAGTCTGCTCCACCAGACCAGGGGCACTCATCTTCACTCCCTGGGGCTCCCGGACCAGCAGCAAGCCCATCGTGATTCTCCTGCTGACCCAAGTTCCCCGGAGAATGAAGAGGCAGCCTCAGAGTCTCCCTGCAGCACTAGGTGGGTTGGGAGGGGGCAGGATTAAAGACCAGGACCACCAAAAAGGTCCAGTTACTGGCACACTCCACTTGAAGGGCCCTCACATTCACGAGCACTTATGCAGGCAACTATCCCCACTGAAGCACTTATCCAGGTGAGCAGGGGTCTCAGTGAGGCCCACAATTCACTATAATCCAATTCTTCTGCAGGAAGAGAATTTCATGAACCCCACCTCTGTGCCCATTCAGGTCTGCCCTGGAAAGGTTCTCCTCCAAGACTGTCCCCTGCAAGTGGCAGCATCTCTGAGCTAGTGGGCTCCAGTCAGAACAGAGCTGTGTAGGGGCCACAGAGAACAACAGGCTACTCAATCATGTGCTATGTGCTTTGGGGAGTACGCATCCTGCACCTTAAACTGTGATGCTGAAGCTCCAGCTGCAAGATGGGTGAAGCAGAAAATAGAGCACAAGGCGTGGTCACTTTTGAAACAATTTGTGATCTCATGTCAAAGGAGCAGCAGGAAACACCATATGAAGGTGGCAGGCCACGCTCCACTGAATGTGCCAATAGCAAAGAAAAAGTCCATATAGCTGTGCCAGACTCCTGCTCTTGGGAGGGGCGGGGAGGGGAGCTGCTGGGAGAGCACAGAGTCAAACCTAATGCAGCTGCCAAGTGGGGTAGGAAGTAACTCCTGGCAGAGCACCTGACTCTTCCCCTGCTCCACCCACTCAGCACTGCAGGGTGCTGCATGGCCTACTGACATCCCCTAGCCAGCTCAGCTCCAACTGGCAACAGCACCCCACGCAAAACATTACTGTGTACATTTGCAGAATGGTGCTGCACCACTGACGCCCTAGGGAAATCTACCACCTCCCTGCAAAGGAAATTTACTCCTCTCCTGAGATACTGCCTGACCTGCTCAGCACTTCTCTTAGGGTTTCAAACCCAAAGGGACAGCTGCAGCTGGGGATGGAAGACCCCCATTACTATTAAACAAATTAGAGGATTGGACCAAAAGAAATCTGATGAGGTTCAACAAGGACAAGTGCAGAGTCCTGCACTTAGGACAGAAGAATCCTATGCACTGCTACAGGCTGGGGACCGAGTGGCTAGGCAGCAGTTCTGCAGAAAAGGACCTGGGGTTACAGTGGATGAGAAGCTGGATATGAGTCGACAGTGTGCCCTTGTTGCCAAGAAGGCTAACGGTATTTTGGGCTGTATAAGTAGGGGCAATGCCAGCAGATCGAGGGACGTGATCGTTCCCCTCTATTCGACATTGATGAGGCCTCATCTGGAATACTGTGTCCAGTTTTGGGTCCCACACTACAAGAAGGATGTGGAAAAATTGGAAAGAGTCCAGCAGAGGGCAACAAAAATGATTAGGGGGCTGGAGCACATGACTTATGAGGAAAGGCTGAGGGAACTGGGATTGTTTAGTCTCCAGAAGAGAAGAATGAGGGGGGATTTGATAGCTGCTTTCAACTACCTGAAAGGGGGTTCCAAAGAGGATGGATCTAGATTGTTCTCAGTGGTAGCAGATGACACAACAAGGAATAACGGTCTCAAGTTGCAGTGGGGGAGGTTTAGGTTGGATATTAGGAAAAACTTTTTCACTAGGAGGGTGGTGAAGCACTGGAAGGGGTTACCTAGGGAGGTGGTGGAATCTCCTTCCCTAGAGGTTTTTAAGGTCAGGCTTGACAAAGCCCTGGCTGGGATGATTTAGTTGGGAACTGTTCCTGCTTTGAGCAGGGGGTTGGACTAGATACCTCCTGAGGTCCCTTCCAACCCTGATATTCTATGATTCTATGATCTTCATTCAAACACCATTTCAAAGCCCTGTTATAGCTACAAGAGAGGACTTACTCTGGCTTAGGGCTGTGCGCGGAGGGAGCGGAGGGAGCAGGGGAAGGGGAGAGGAATCAGCAACCTAAAGGAGAGGTCAACACCAAGACAAACTGATCCTGTCACTCAGACTTTCATCTCATGGCTTTGTCCTGAGGGAAAAATTCACAGTTAGCACAGGGTTTGTAACTTGATAACTCCAGTTTGTTAATAAGATGCTACTTGTAAAAAGAAAACACTGCATTCTCATTCAGCCATTGGGAGATGCTGCAAAGTACTCCATAAAAGAGGGGGAGATGTGATTCCAATACCAGAGTCTATGCCGGGGTAGGGAAACTTTTTGGCCCAAGGGCCACATCTGGATGGGGAAATTGCATGCAGGGCCATGAATGTAGGGCTTGGGCAGGGGGATGGGGTGCAGGAAGGGGTTCAGGACAGGTGCTAGGGTACAGGAGGGGGCTCAGGGAAGGGGGTTGGGGTGCAGGAGGGGTTCGGGCTTCGGCCCTGCGCCACTTACCTTGAGCGGCTCCAGGGTGACAGCGGCGCACAGCAGGGCTAAGGAGGGCTCCCACCTGCCCTGGCCCCGCACCACTCCCAGAAGCAGCTGGCACCATGTCCCTGCGGCCCCGGAGGGGGAGGGGGGGCGGGAGAGGGCAGAGGGCTTTGCGTGCTGCCCTCGCCTGCGGGTACCTCCCCTGAAGCTCCCATTAGCCATGGTTCCCTGTTCCCGGCCAATGGGAGCTGCGGGAGGCGGTGCCTGCAGCCCTCTTGCCCCCCGCTCGCCAAGGGGCCGCAGGGATGTGGTGCCGGCCTCTTCTGGAAGAGGCACGGGGCCAGGGCCAGGGCAGGCAGGGAGCCCGCCTTAGCCCCGCGGTGCCACAAGGGTGGCAATCCCGTGGGCCAGATCCAAAGCTGTGAGGGGCTGGATCCGGCCCCCGGGCCGTAGTTTGCCCACCCCTGGTCTATGATCTGGAAGAAAATATAAAATCCCTTGATGATGAAGTTTGCGCACAACAAAAGGATTGATCAGGTGGTGAATAACAACACAGACAAGTTACAGACAGAGCAATCTGCATCGCTGGGCAAGCCAGATGCAATCAAACAACATGTTTTAATATGACCAAATGCAAGGTCATACACTTAGGAACAGTGTAACTTACAGGATGGGGACTGGATCTAAGAAGGCAGTGACTCTGTAAAGGAATTAGAGATCATTGTATTTAACCAAGAACACAAGGTACAAATGTGATACTGTGCCAAAAAGGGCTAAAAGTGTATAAACAGAGGATAACTGAGCATGAGGAGGGTGGTGATTTTACATCTGTATACAGCACTAGTAAGACCACTACAGAAATATTGAATCCTATTCTGATTTTTAAAAGGATGCTGAAAAAATGAAGACACTTCAAAGAAGCTTTTCAACACAACAAATCCTGTATCTTAGCAGGGGGCTTGATGGCCCTTGTGGTCCCTTCTAACCCTATGGTTCTAGGATTCTAAGAACCACAAGAATTATTTGAGGTTTGGAAAAACTTTTTTTTTAATGAGAGACTCAGGATGCTCAGAGCTTGTCTACACTTAGCCTGGTCTATGCTACATAGTTAGGTCCACGTAGGGACCTAGGGGTTACAGTGGACGAGAAGCTGGATATGAGTCAGCAGTGTGCCCTTGTTGCCAAGAAGGTTAATGGCATTTTGGGCTGTATAAGTAGGAGCATTGCCAGCAGATTGAGGGACGTGATCATTCCCCTCTATTTGGCATTGGTGAGGCCTCAGCTGGAGTATTGTGTCCAGTTTTGGGCCCCACACTACAAGAAGGATGTGGAAATATTGGAAAGAGTCCAGCGGAGGGCAACAAAAATGATTAGGGGGCTGGAGCCATGATTTATGAGAAGAGGCTGAGGGAACTGGGATGATTTAGTCTGCAGAATAGAAGAATGAGGGGAGATTTGATAGCTGCTTTCAACTACCTGAAAGGAGGTTCCAAAGAGGACGGATCTAGACTGTTCTCAGTGGTACCAGATGACAGAACAAGGAGTAATGGTCTCAAGTTGCAGTGGGGGAGGTTTACGTTGGATATTAGGAAAAACTTTTTCACTAGGAGGGTCGTGAAGCACTGGAATGGGTTACCTAGGGAGGTGGTGGAATCTCCTTCCTTAGAGGTTTTTAAGGCCTGGCTTGACAAAGCCCTGGCTGGGATGATTTAGTTGGGGATTGGTCCTGCTTTGAGCAGGGGGGTGGACTAGATACCTCCTGAGGTCTCTTCCAACCCTAATCTTCTATGTTTCTAAGGCAGCTTACATGAATCTAACACTGTAAGCATGTACAGTAAAATGCAGCTCCCACCGATGTAACTTGCCCACAACACCAATTTAACTCCACCTCTGCGAGAGGCGTAGTGCTCAAGTCGATGTAATTAGGTCACCACAGTGTAGAAATTGCATGGCTTACATTGACAGCCTTTCAGAAGCCCTCCCACAATGCCCCACACCGACAGTTAAAGCTGTGCAAGTGCTCCTGGTGAGGACATGTTCTGCCGCCACAAGGAGCATAGCGTGAACATGCAAAAGCAGTTTAATTACTGCAGCGGCTGTACATCAACGTTACGTCAACTAACGTTACGTCAATGTTTAGGTCAACTAAATTTTGTAGTGTAGCCTTGCCTTACAGCAGCAAGGCTGCGCCACTACAGCACTTAGGCTATGTCTACACTGCGCACTTTACAGCAGCACCCCCAACAAGGGGCGGTAGCTTTGTAGGCGGGAGAGCGTCTTCCTGCTGACAAAGCGCTGTCCACACTGGTGCTTTTCATCAGCAAAACTTTTGATGGTTGGTGTGTGTTTTTTCATACCCCTGACCAACAAAAGTTTTACCGACAAAAGTGCAGTGCAGACAAAGCCTTAGTGAAGATGCTGCCTGACAGGAGAGCTTCTCCTGTCAGCGTAGGTACTCCCCCCAAGGTGGTAGCTATGTTGACACAGCGCTGTCTATGCCAGGGTTAGATTGGTATAACTATGTCACTCCTGAGTTCAGCTATACCGACATAAGTTTGTAGTGTAGACAAGGGCTAAGTCTATTTAGCTTATTGAAGAGAAGATGAAGAGGGGACTTGATTACAGTCTATAAGTACCACATGGGGAGCTTTCTAATGCTAGTACAGGTCTGTCGCATCTTATGCGCATTTAACATGCGGTCGGCAAAAACAAAACAAAACAAAAAAAGAGAAAAACAACCGTTTTAATACTATACCTGTAGTGCGGGTGATTTCACCCGTCATTGAACTCAATGGGGTTTTGGCTATAGGCGGTTTTCGGTTTACGCGCTAACCGCGGAACGGAACCCCCGCATAAGATGAGACAGTGAGGGTAACTAACCATTTGAACAGACTACTGAGATATGTGGTAGATTCTCCATCACTTGGAGTCATTAAATCAAGGCTGGACGCTTTTCTAAAAGATATGCTCTAGTTACCAGGTTTGATGCAGTGAATGAATTTCTAAATTTCTGAATTATGCATCTGCAAACCATACAGGGAGAGAAGAGACATGGAGCCGAATTCAGTGACAATAGAAGAGAGGAGCTAGGAGAGACTGGAGAGCCAACAGTAGTTGGAGGAGAGGAGCTAGGGGAGGTTTCGAAGCTGATGTCAGTGGCACCCAGAGGACAAACCTGGGTATCAGTGGCATTCAGGACAGTTAGTCTAATCACCACGGTCAACAAGCTTAAGTTGCTAATTTTAAGCTCTTCAGAGCAGGGACCATATCTGTCTCTGTGTTCATACAGCACCTATCTCAATGGGACCTCGAGCCTGAGCTGGGCCATGGGGCATTACTGCAATATAAGTAATGAACAACAACAGATGGACCCAACAGACTAAAAGTTTACACAAGGGAGATACCAGCTCTATGCAAACCAAACACAACAGAAGAATCTGCCTGGGGCTCTTGGCCAGCTGTACCAGCAAAGCCCTGAGACTGGATGCAAGTCTGCAAGGTGGTTGGTGGGATAAGTAAGGGTGGCTTGGATTCAGAGTGATTAGCAGGTGCACTCTTAAGCAGTGATTCTCCTTTTCCACAGCTGGATCCCCACACCAGCCAACATCTAACTGAGAGCCAGGCAGCGCCACCTCTCCTTGGACAAGCTGGGAAGGGCGGGAGGGCCATGAGTTCTTAAGGTCTGTTGACAGGGCCAATGACCTGCAGAAATGCCACCAGGGCAACTCAAAGTGTGGTTCCAAAACTAAACAGCTGAGACTTAGCTAATGAGGAAGCAGACGGCCCTGGGGTGCCCAGGCAGCCCCAAGCCCAGCTCCCCACAGCGACGGGGGGGGGGGGGTGTCCGAGGGCAGCCCCAAGCCCAG